TGTGTGTTTGTGGAGACACACAAAGCTTATTACCACACGCATCCTGCATTAGAAAGGAGCCAGCCTAAAACAAATCAGGGCCAGTGCCCAGGGGACCAGCCGATTCTGCAGAAAACTACAACTTTTAAACATGAAGGAGCAGCATCCATTGTAAGTGATTTGATCAGCATTTAAAATAGCTTTAAAACCTTTAGATTTTAATAGAACTTAAAAAATGTGTGTATGTCATCCAGAATGTCATCAAGAATGTTATCCAGACTAGCAATCATTCAGAAATGTATGGACAACTTGTAAAATAAAAAAATTAATTAAAAAAATAAAGCCTGTAAAATATGATAAAAAAGTATTATATTCTGCATTTAAATATCAGCTTGTTAAAATACAATATTACATAAAAAAATTGTTTTGTGATCACCTGGAAAAAATTAGACTGCTCTATCCTTCTGGCAATTCAATGATATCACAAAACAGTTCAGTGACATAATTTTTTGGCAGTTGTCCATAAGAAAAAAAATAATTAAGGTTACTACTCAAAATTAATATTAAACGGAATTTATGTACAATGTATGATTTACATCATAAATAAATTCAAAAACTAAAAAAATTTTTTTGTGTCTGGAGTTACACTTGTTCTGACTTACATACAAATTCAACTTAAGTACAAACCTACAGTCCCTATCTTGTATGTAACCCTGTAGTGTCCCTGAATGCCTGAAGTGAGAGTGGGCAGTTACGGGTGTCCCAGTGCTCCCTAAGTGACCAAGGATCCTAGTTCCATCTGTCAAGGCTTCAAGCGAGGAATAAACAACAAGTGTCCAATTGAAAAATGAAGCAGGTCTCAGGCCCGTCAGAGATATATCAGATGCATGTGTGAAGAGGAGAGTCTGATTGTGATGGTTAGGAAACAAAAAAACAAGCAAACAGGGAGAAAAACAAAACAAATGTATATTTTTCAGGACTACCTTTTTTCCCAATGCGAATGGTGTAGAGCTGACTTCAGGTGGGTTTCAGATCCGACACCCACAAGGCAGCGTCAGCCTGGAGAGAAGTCCAGTAACAAATAAATCACTCCGTCTCGCCACCCGGATTAAATTCAGACAGCTGTGTCTGGATAAACTAGAGAAGTGAAAACGGTTAGGTGGATAACAAGGGTAACAGAGTAACATCCAGACCCTGAGCATCAGTGCTATAGCAGAGCTCAGCCCCATAGTAGGGAAGATTCTATCACCGTTGGAAAAGTTCAGGCCTTCTTTTACCTGGGTGGGCTTTTAATCGGGGAGGAAGAAGAGGTGCTCCCACTTGAATCAAGGAAACTTTGGGCTTGAGCTGCCGATGTGAACCGCCATGCCTTACCATCCTCCGTTGAGAAGCCTAAGCACTGCAGGGTAATGCAGGGCTACTTTGATGCGGTTACTAACCAGCGTCTGGCATACCTCATGAAAAGACTTCCTTAATTTTGAGGTTTCCATGGAGTAGTCTGCAAAGAGTAATAACTTGAGACCATCCACCACAAGGTTGCGTTGAGTGCGATACGTTTGGAAGATATTTTGCTTGTCATTGTAGTCAAGGTAGTGCACAATCACAGGCCTTGGCTTGGCATCATTTCTGGGCAGACCTAATCTATGCCCCCTCTCCACCTTGCAAAGATCAGATAGGCCCATGGCTTTAGGCAGGGGCGTACTGACCTTCCGTCTTCCCTCCTCCGTCACCGGCCCCGCCACCTTCTCTGATGCTGACCCCCTGGCCCCGCATCCTCCTCCCCGCCACGTCCAGCCTCCTCCACCGCCGCTGCTGACTCTCATTGACTCAGCAGCGGCAATGGAGAAGAACGCAGCGCTGCACAGATCACTGTGATCTAAACAGCGGTGCGTTCGAACCCATAGCCACCCAGGCGGCCCGCACGGCATCAGGGGGGGTGTCCTGCCCGGGCCCCCTGGATCCAGGAATCAGGTGAGTATTTAAAAAAAAAAAATGTTTTATTTTATGTTCCCAGTAGGGCTGCAACAACTAATTGAGTAATCGATGATTGAAAAAGTTGTCAACGTTTTCAATCATCGATTATCGGCTTTCGATTAGTTGGCCATGTTCACGGCTCCACACACGCTGTACCTCCTCCCCGGCTCATGCTCGCCGCTGCCAGACCCGCCCGCATCCACACTCCACAAGCCGCACCTCCTCCCCGCCTCACGCTCACTGCCCGCCCACATCCACGATTGGCGCGGGGAGAAGAAGTAAGGAGGAGCAGGCGTGGGGGGATGACAGCTGCCGACAGACCCGATCTCAGAAGCAAGTTGCTGGAAGACTGCTCAGGTAAGCCTGC